AGACGATGGCCAGCGTGGATTTACCTGCGGGAGGACAAGGATGGGGCACTTATCCCTCTGCCCACACTCACCCCACCCTGCTGCCCCAAACCCTCCCCACCCAAACCCAGGGGATGTCCCCAGGTCTTTGGGGTTCCGTGTCCTTTATCCAGGTATCTCAAAGGCTGCACTCCATGAGCCACCTGCTCAGCAGCTTTGACCATAGATAGCTGAGCAGAAACTCCTTGCTGGATGTCACCAAACCCCAACAAGAGTTTTGGAGCCCCTCACAAGCATTCGTGGTTGAGCTTCAGCCTCACCTGGGTGTCTGATTTCCCAGGTGGGGTCCTTGGACGAGGGGCAGGTGACAAAGAGGAAAGGCATGTTCTTGGCAGCTTCTTCTCTGGATGAATCCAGGTAGCGCTTCATGCTGCAGGGGGATGCAAGGGTTGAGGTGGGGTTCGGTGCATACCTTTGCCTGAATTCTCATTACACCTGAATCCCTGTTTTCCGAGTCACTGCCCAGGAATTCATCTCCTTATGCTCAATGAAGCAGGTCCAAGGTGAAGCCAAACCTACATTCCATCCAGGTCACTCCCTGGGTACATGAAGTAGTTGGTGGGCTCCAGCCCCAGCTCTTCCCTTGAGCCGTTGAGGCCGACAAAGACGGTGAAACAGCCCTTGCCGTGGGCCACCAAGTGCAGCTGGGACTGGATCTCTGTCACAGGGAGAGAAAAAGGGCAATCAGTCTTCTCTGGGGAAAATCAGGCTTTTCTAGGATCCTCTGCTATGAAGTGGTTTCTCCAATCCTGACCCCCTCCCACCAAACCCTGCCCTTCCCACCCACCCACCAGTCCCCATTCCCACCCAAGTGTGCCCCTTCCACCCAGTTGTGCCTCTTCCACCCATCCACCCCCTCTTCCTACCCACCCGTTCCCCCTTCCCACACACCCACCCAACCATCTCCATTCCTGCTGGTGCCCCTTCCATCCAGTTGTGCCCCTTCCCATCCGCCCCATTCCCTTCCACCCCACCATCCCACTTTGCCCCCATCCATGCCCCTTCCACCCACCTTTGCCCCTTCCAGCAGATTTTTTGGCAGCTCTAAACCAAACTTCAGGTGGACATTCCACCAGCTTCCACAAATTTCAAGGCCCTACACTGTGCTTTTTAGGGAATCCTCGCACCCAATCAGGACTTTGCTAACTACAGCCAATTCTAGCTGATTAATTTAGGCCTAATTAAAACCCCTGTGAATAAATGAGTGGCCAGGGCCGTGTTTTTAGGGCTGTGGCACAGGAGCAATTTAACATTAAATCAAATGTTAATTGATAAATCCGCTTTGGGATGAAGCTTAGGACAGGATTAATGCTGTAACCCTGCCAGGGCCCGGTACCTGGCAGGGCCCGTGCCTCTGGTGGCAGCAGCTTCTCGTAGGTGTTGAATATCCCGGCATCTGAAATGACTATGGGAGCATAGATGTTCACCAGATCTTGGCCTTTTTTGACACTCACACCTGGGAGGGAAAATCCAGAGCGGGAGGAGCAGTGCTGGTGAAGGGACCCCCGCACTGGGGAGCGACTCCGCACCCTGTCCCGCCCCGGCGCTCACCGCAGGCTCTGCCCTGGGAGTCCAGCAGGATCCTCTCCACTGGTGCCTTCCCAAACACGTTTCCTCCGGCTTTCCGGATCACAGAAATGGTGTGGAAGGCAATTTCCCCAGAGCCGCCTTTGGGGTACCACGCACCCCGGAGGAAGTGGTTCACCAGGATGCTGTGCATGGAGAAGCTGACCTTGGAGGGGATCACACCTGGAAAAAGGGGCAGCCAAGGTGGGTTGGGCCAAATCACGGGTTTGGGGCTTATCCTAAAGGGTTTAGCATGAGGAACACCGTAGACACGACACTGGGAAGAAGGAGGGATGCAGGTGAGGAACTTGGAGGAGCGGGGAGGACGTTGAGCACGGGCGTCCCCGTGGCAAAGCCTGCGTTCACCAACCCAACCAAGTCATGGCGGACCATGAGCAAAGCCCTGGGCGATGGGATGGAGGCAAAGGAGGAGGTTCGGGGGTTCCAAGTGGGGACATTCCCTTGTACAGGACTGATGCTGCCCTACTGGGAAGATGAAGGACGTGGAGGGAATGAGATGGAGACGAGAAACAGGGACACACGGATAACCCATCGGTGACCTGGGGACAAGGATGCTGGTGGAGCACCCACCACGCAGCAGCCCTCCCCCACACACCTCCCGAGGGCATGGGGAAAAAGGGGTTTCTTGCCTTTTTTTTTTGTTTCTAAAGGGTTTGACGCCACCTTGGAGCCTCCTGGTCACCTACCATAGGTGGGGAAGAGGTAGCTGAGGACAGCCTGGAGCTCGGGGTTGGGGGTCAGACCCTCCACCACCTCCTTGAGGCTGCGCGAGGCCATGCGGGAGAAGGAGCAGAAGCGCGGGAGGAGCCCGGACCAGCACAGGAGCCTTGCCAGGAACTGTGGGAGCATCTTCAGGACGCCTATCAGCATGACCCCACGGCTGGTGCTCTGCGGGGGGAGCGCGGGGTCAGCGGGGCCATGCTTGGGACACACCCCAAAGCACCTTTTTCCCCTTAAATTCACTGCTGGGCATCCTGGGGAGCTGTGGACAAGGGGAGCACTGGCTCCCCGAAGAAGCTTCCCCCCGCCAAAATCTCCCTTCAAAAAAGCTCGCCCTAAAAAAGCTCCCTATAAAAATTCTTCCAAAAAGCTCCATAAAAAAAGGTCCCTCAAAAAATCTCCCCCCAGAAAATCTCCCCAAAAAGATCTGTGACACTGGGGTTTTGAGGCAGGAAAGGGCGACTTTGGATGTGTTTCCCAACAGTTTTGGGACAAGGCCATTATTCCCTGGGGGTGCCCAATATCTGGGTGCCAGGGGGTTTCCCCTCTTTGTGTGATCCTCCAGATCCAAACCCCCTTGTTTTGTCCCACCTGGATGCTCCTCTACCTTCACCAGCTGCTGGAACTCATCGATGGCCGCAGCTTCCCCAGGAAACTGCTCCTTCAGCTTCTGGAAATATTCCCGCTCCCCAGAATGGATGTGGTAGGTCCTGCCATCGCCCTGGGGGTCCCCCAAAACCACGGCATCGTGGACAGTCGGGAGCCGGGCCCATTCCAGCTGCCCATCTGTCAGCTGGTCCACCAGGAACCGCATCAGGGAGCTTTCCTGCATCTCCCCCACATAGTGGATCCCTAAAAGAGACATTTTACTGGTTTTGTCCTCTTTTTCTTTATTTTTCCTTTTTCTTCCTTTATTTTCCCACTCCAGGATGCACCGAACGCACCTCTTGTTTATCCATCCCCTCCCCATCAGCTCCATGTGGAAGGGAAAGGTAAAATCTGGGATACACACACCTCCCACTTGAGGTGAACAGTGCTCGCCATCACATTTTTATTTGGGAATCTGGGGAATTTTGTTACATTTTGGTATTTTTCCTGTTTTCTTCCACCCTGGGATGCACAGAACCCTTCTCTTGTTTTTCCATCCCCACCTCCTCAGCTCCCTATGGAAGGGAAAGGGAAAATCCAGGATACACCTGCCTCCCACTTGGGGTGGATGCTGCTTGCCGTGGTGTTTTTAATTGGGAATTTTGTTACACATCGTGATTTTTCATCTCTGCTGGAAATAATTAATCCTGGAGCTCTGGGAAGACACAGAGTTGGACTTTGCCTCACTGCGAGGAGTTTTCCAGGGAGGTGCCAAGTTTGTCCTAAGGTGATATTCCTGGTGCTGAGAGTTCCATAGGGGCTGGATATGGGGAATTCGGGGGGGTTGGTGTCCCTCAGCCAGAGAATTTTTGGGTGAAGAGCAGGCTTGTCTCACACAGGGTGGGTGCTGGGGCCCCCTTATCTGACCCCCAGTGGGTGTGATTCCCACCCCGAGTGTGTCCCAGCCCCCTCCTTTGGATCCGGGGGGCAATTTTGGGGCCCCAAATCGTACCGGTGTCGAACTCGAAGCCCTTCTCGGTGAAGGTGTGGCAGCAGCCCCCCAGCTTCCCGTGCTGCTCCAGCACCAGCACCCGCTGGCCGGCCTTGGCCAGGAGTGCAGCCGCTGCCAGCCCCCCCACGCCGCTGCCCACCACGATGGCATTGAGCTGTGGGGGCACCTTCTCTGCCGAGAACACTGCGGGGAGAGTGGGGTGTCAGCGAGGGGGGCACCCCTGGGGCACGGGGCACCCCCAAAACCACGGCGAGGGGGTGGCACCCAGGGGGTGATGCCAGGTTGGGGGGTGTCAACCTCGGGGGGGTCACACTGACACGGGGGCGACTCCGGTGTTGGGGGGACAATGCCATGTTGGGGGCCTTCAGACTGACCCCACCCGGGGGGAGCAGTGCCACCCTGGGGGGGATCATACTGACACGGGGGGGGGGACTCCAACGGTGGGGCAATGACAATGCCACACTGAGGGGTGTCAAACTGACATAGGGGGTGACATCACCCGGGGGGACAATGCTACCCTGGGGGGTTTCAGAGTGACAGAGGGAGTGACCCCACCCGGGGGAGGACAATGCCATCACCCTGTGGGGGGGGGTCATACTGACAGAGGGGGGGGAATCCACATGGGGGAGGGACAATGCCACCCTGGGTGGCATTTTCAGACTGACACGGGGGGCTGACGCCACCCGGGGGGGGGACAATGCCGCCCTGGGGTGTTGATGCTGCCCCAGGTGGAGATGCTGCCCCGGGGGGCCACAACAGCCCGGGAGATAATTCCGCTCCAGGGGCAATGCCGAGGCGGGTGACACCGCCCTGAGGGGCCAATGCTGTCCCCGGAGTCGATGCCCACCGGGGGGGTCCCGTACCTGTCTTGACGACGCTCCTCCGCACAGCCTTGTCGGTGACGAGCGGCCCGGGCGGGCGGCGGCTGTCGGCGGCGAAGGGATTGCGGCCGCCCGAGACTTGCGGGAACAGGAGGAAGAGGACCGGGATGAGGAAGAGGAGGAGGAGGACGAGGAGAAGGAGGGGGACGAGACAGAGCAGCACCTGCAGCCACATGTTGCTGTGCCGTCAGCCGGAGCGGGAGCCGGGAACAGCGGGAATGGGAATAACAGGGGCGAAGGCCGATAAGGACTGTGGAAAAGGGGCACGGCACCGGCGCTGGGCGGGAGGACCGCGGGAGGGGCGGGCGTTGGCACTGGGAACTGGGAGCTGGAACCGAGTCACGGAACTGGGTACTGAGGGCGGGTACTGGGATTCCTGGAGCTGGAACCATGAAGCAGGCAGTGGCTGCTGGGAGCTGGCACTGGGAGCTGTCACAGGGCACTTGGAGCTGCAAGCAGGACGGAGGCACTAGGCACTGGGCACTGGGAGCCGGCACTGGGCACTGGGAGCCGGCACTGGGCACTGGGAGCTGGGAGCCAGCACTGGGATATGGAGTCACAGAGTCACTTGGAGTTGTCACAGGGCACTAGGAGCTGGGAAGGGGGCACTGGGAGCTGACACCGGGAGCTGGTAGTGGGATACTGGGAGTTGGGAGTGGCACTGGGAGCTGAGACTGGGTACTGGTCCCGGGGACTGGCCAACCCCGCCCCAGCGCCTGTAGCCCCGCCCCACTGTCCCCAGTCCCCGCCCCTCGATCAGAGTCCCGCCCCCTGCGCATAGCCCCGCCCCCGTCATAGCCCCGCCCTCTGGTCCCGCCCGTCTCCGTTCCCGCGCTCTGGCCCTCGCGCGCCCCCGTCACCGCCCCGCGCGGTGCACGCCGGGAGTTGTAGTCCCCGTCTCTCCCAGCGAGCGGCAGCGGGGACTCCAGCTCCCCGCGTGCAGCGCGGCCGCGCCTGCGCACTGCGGCGGCGCCGGGCCCGGAGGAGTCCCGCGGGGTCCGGGCGGGAACGGGACCCCCGGGAGGGGCTTTGGGGGGGCCCTGAGGGTCTCCGAGGGACCCGGGGCGGACTCCTGAGGGACTAGGAGGGGATCTGGGGGGGCTGGGAGAGACCTGGGGGGTGCTCCTGAGGGGCTGGAGGGGGGCACTGGGAGGCCAGAAGAGGCTCCTGAGGGTGCCCGTGCGGGGCTGGGGGGTCCCGAGTGGGTTCCTGCGGGGCCGGGGTGGTCCTGGGGAGTGTCAGTCTCCAGGACCCTCCTCCCCACCTCCTGATCTCCGCCCCGCTCTCCTCCCGCAGGGCATGAGCGGCGCCGGGGGCTCGGAGCGGCCGGAGCTGCGGCCGGAGCGGCGGCCGCGCGTGTTTCCCCCGGCAAGTCCCTGCCCGTGCGTGTCCGGCCGGAGCCCCCCGGCCGAGCCCCCGGGGGCCTCCTCACCTCAGGGGTTCCAGCCCCCCATTCCCCCTCACCTCTCGATTGTATCCGTGTAAAATCATCTTGGGGGCACAACCGCGCCCCGAAACCCTCTTCCGAAGGAGCCTGAGCTGCCTTCCAGTGGGGCACAGGGGCGGTTCCCGGGGGGAATCCTCGGGGTTTGGGGTCGGTCGGTGTCTAGGGTCTGTCCCGGGTGGTGACACTGGTTTCCTCTCTCCCCCCCAGATCCAAGCTCTGGGGCAGGATGGGGTCCTGCAGGCGCTGGTGCTTGGAGAGGGGCAGTGCTCGGACCCTGGTGAGCCTCTCCTGCTTCTCTTGGATCAATCCCGGTGTTTGCTGGTGGGAAGGTCACCGGGGGGGCTGGGAAGGACCCCAGGGATCCAGCGGGGAAGTCTTAATCAAATCCATCTGGTCCCGACTTGTTCCCCAAGACCAATCAAGATAAACCTTGCAGCTGGGATTTTCCTTGGAAAAGGGGATATCCAGCTCCAGGATGTGCTGGGGGGTGTTGGGGGAAGGGAGCAAATCCCCCATCCCGTGTCTCCCACCCGGATCTGACCCTTGTGCTCCTCCCTTCGGGCAGGGATCAGCGAGGAGCAGCATCGGGCCCAGGAGGAGTGGGAGGCTCTGGAAGAGATCCAGTCAGGTACTGGGAACAACGGGGGCCTGGCAGCTGGAAAGGTCTGGGGAGGAGAGAAGGACCTGGATCCCGGAGGGCAGGATGATGGGGGAGCACCTGGGGGGGTTATTTGGGGGTGGAGGGGAGGGAGGGGGTAGGAGACTCCCTGTTTTACCCCTGTTCCCCATGGCTCCGCCCTCCTGGGGGTCACTCTGGGGGGAGTCAAGAGTCACTGGGGGTTTAAGGGTCACTCAGGGGGAGCAGGGATCATTGGGGGGACCAGGGGTCACTGGGGGGGTCTAACCCCCTCCCTCTCTCCCTGCAGCGTTGGGGGGCATCTCGCCTGTGCCTCCTCCCTCGATTTCCTTCGCGGAGGCGCTGCAGCACTTCCAGAGCTCCGGGCTCTCCCAGAGCCGGGTACGGCCCGGGGACAGGGCAGGAATTAGGGCTGGGGGGCACCCAGCCCCCCTCCCCCCGGGGGCTCAGCCCTGACAGGTCTGGGGTCTCTCCCACAGAGGAAGGTCCGGGGGCCGGGGCGCCGGGGGGG